TTCCTGGAAGAAATTCGTCTCTTAATTTTTCCTTCGTTTTTTTCACTCGTCTCTTTCTTAAATTTTCAGCTCTGCTAAGAGCGTTGTTCCTTCTTCTTTAAGTTCCTGACAGATTTTAAGCAAGCCTTCTTTCTCGTCAAAATTTGCCGAAACGGATTTGTCGTTTTAGATTTTTTTTTGTTTCTCAAATCTTTAGCATTAACCGTTGACGCCTGTTCTTTTTTTTTTTCCTGGGTCTTAATTATCTAGGTGGCTTATCACTTTTCCTCTTTCACGCCGTAGATTTCCTTACAAATCCTGTAGATTATTTTACTACTTTCCTTCAAACGTTCGTGATATTTCTTTCTTCCCAGCTCTTTACGTAATGTTTTACTAATGATGTCTCGCATACACCACGCTTCCGAGTTGGATGCTGGTGGAAATTTGATTCTTGGCAGTTTGGGTTGCGTCCCATCCTTTGATTTAACAGCTTGGATATCCTCAGCATTGTGGTATGCATCCTGGCATTGGTTTTCTGACGTCTTACCTGTGTTGACAGAGCGCTGCTCCTAAACCGTTTGCAGAAAAGCACAACACATTTTTGTAAGGTGAATCTTCGCTCCCTTTTGGGACCTGAATTTCCGACCACAAACATATGGGAAGTCTGTGCACTTTTCTAAATTTATGGTTTATTTTTCCTTCCGGGTTCGTTGCCGATTATTCCGTTTGCATTCATCATACTCCCTCCCTATATATAAATATATATTACATTCATGCAAATAGTCGATTAGTAAAGTTAATAATATAAATGGCGAAAAACATCTTCGCAAAGAAATTTATTAAAGTTGCATTAACCTACGAACCATTCGATGAATGTTACGATCCTTGTTTTTAATAACTTCAAGTTGTATAAGGTCTTTTTTTTATTCTGCTAGTACTTTCGGCTGTACATTCAGCCATCTTCAGGCATGGAAATTATTTTGTTTTTAGTAGATCCAGGTAATAGCGGACACGAAAAATGAAATGTGAATCGAAGTATTTTTTTTTTTTTTTAAATGTGTTATTATTAACGGATAAAACCTTATGGAGCGTGCAGTCTAACGCTAAGCTTGATTTTTTTGAAAATTTAAGAGAGTGCGTTTTTTTTTTTACTAATATGGTAATTTGAGAATTTTTTTGTTGTAGGAGTTTTTTCAGTCAATGTGGCATGAACTAAATTGTTCAATAGAGGAATGTCGCAGCTGTTATCCCGATAATTTGATTTGTACGCCGGATCAGTTCTTTTAAAATCAAATATATGGTGCAGTTCAATTTATGCTACATGAATCATTCATACAAATATATATATATATATATATATATATATATATATATATATATAAGTACACACATACACACACACACACATATATATCATATAATATTACTATCATTACTAGCACTACTACAATTATTATTATTATCACCATTACTATTATTCTTCCTATCAGCAGTATTTATCTTGTAACTTTCAGTCATTTACTTAAATGACTTCTACTGGGAAACGCTTTTGTAATTCAAACAGAGACGCCATTAAGAGAAACAATTAAAAAAATTTAAACACTAACTGTAACAATGCAAATATACCAGTAAATACCAATTACATAATATGCACATCAATAACACATTAAATAGCAATGACAATAATATTGATAAAAATAACCAATCGGTCACTCTTGAATGGTAAATACTCACTTAATAATCTGACTTTAAAATTAAAATATCATTAATGTAAGATATAATTTGCGGTAATGAGCAAATTAATGTATATATTCATACAAAACTAATAGTTGGTTTTCTTTTTTAATAGTAAAAACTTAAATAGATTATGATGAATAGTCACATAGATTTAAATCAAAATCAGTTGGATATTTACGTTGAGTTATATTTGCGTTGAAGTATATATTCATTTTACGTTTCTACGCGTTTATCTCTTCGAAGATCATATATTATCATTTTACGATTTAAAAATTATTCAAATTTTTCTCTTATTATCGGGTTTTTTTTATTATGTTCAGAAAAGACGAACGTGGTTTTACTAAGAGTGAAATAAAATAAGATATTTTTTTTTTTTAAATGTGAAAACGACAATAAAAGAACAGATTTTTTTTGAAAATTTTAAGGATTCATATGGTGACGTTTGATTTTTTGTTTAGGATTGAAACAGTCATCTGGAATGAATTCCACAGATGATATGTGAGATTTATGCTTCTTGAACTTATTACATTATTTTATTATTATCATTAAAGGAGGATTTCATTTAAATGACTTCTGCTGGGAAACCTATTATTATTCAACTGTAGAATATAGATCGTTAAAAATTATTCAAATGTTTCTTTAATGAGCAAATTAATGTTTATTATCAATACGGTTTTCTTCTTCTTCTTATTATTATTATTATTAAGAATATAGATATTAAAAATTATTCAAATGTTTCTCTTATTATCAGGTTTATGTAGTTATGTTCAGAATAGGGATTTCTAGTAGATATAGCACGAGGACAAAAAGATAATAGATATCTTGCTGAAAATGTCATTTATAGATTAATTTTAGAGAATTCTATCACACATTTCTCTGTTCTTAGAATTTGTTATTTGGCTAATATTTAAAAAAAAACTTTCAATTTCGGAGATCACATTTTTATTTAAATTCAGCTTTAATTTAAAATGGCAATAAACATTCTTAAGATTTGATTATAAATATACACAACATTTTATCCGGAATCCTTGAGAGTTGATGCATTTAAAGCGTCTCTGATTAAAAGCTTAGTCTTATATTAGTCTTAGTATTGTATAATACAAGTTTACGCATGTTGTCAAAATTGACGACATATTTTGTCAAAACATTGCTTTTAATAAAACGTTTTTAGAGTTGAATATTGTGATAACAATAAGTTACTGCCAGGGGGTGTGATAGATAGAATCACCTCGTTTCGACTGATAGCAAAAAAGTTAAAGATATGTCAACAAATATACAAATAAACTTGCTGTATGATGATCAACTGTTTATACGTGATATCACGGGTAAGGATTTATGAAAAACATTATGAAAAAAATGAAACTAATCTTTAGATAGGAGATGGTACTAAAATGTTCATATATTTTGTTTTTTAATCAATTCACTTCAAGCAAGACGATAATGAGACTAAGACGAACGTGGTTACTAAGAGTGAAATAAAATAAGATATTAGTGAGGAGAAAGGACAATAAAAGAACAGATTTCCGGAAATTCATAAGACTGACGTCACATTTGAAGATTGTAGGTGCCAGGGACGCAAGAAATCTGGAGAGAATTCCACAGATGATGTGTGAGAGAAAAAAACTATTAGAATTGAACTTACGGTGACATCTTAGATATTTCAACTGTAAAGGAGGAGACCTAGATATCAATCAAGTAGTATGGTAACACTCATGTGGTCGTGGTGCCAATGAGGAATGCCATGAGAGATAACTTTACAAACCCTTCTTTTGATTTTGTCAAGCATTTTGATATATATATATATATATATATATATATATATATATTAAATGCTCAAACAACATGGTTCTAAATTATTAAATTGGAATCGTAATGACGATCCAATTCATCAGACCTACAAATTCAAAAATAAATCGGAAAAGATATATGTCATTCGCAGACAGTACACTTTCGCTGTATCACAGCTCCTCGGTGCGACTAGACAACTGAATGCCTCAAGCCCAGATCGAAACCCAAACGATTTGGTGTAAGTCAGAGCTTCTACCACAGCCATCTTCACTCGACAGAACGAATCAGCCAAATCTAGCGTATTGTTTTACAAACGTAAACAAACGCCAAGCAGCCAAAGTGCTCCATTCATATTATTGACCACTAATATATATATATATATATATATATATATATATATATATATATATATATATATATATATATATATATATATATATATATATATATATAGTTAGATTGATGTGTTTTGTGACCCTGGGTTTCACTGATTAATTTTAAAAATTTTTGAATCTAATTATGGTTATGTATAATGGTGTTTGATGGTAATGGGAGGAGAAATTCTCCTCAATCCATTTTAAGTAATGCAAAACCCAGACGGATAGATATATATGTACACATGTGTATGTGTGTGTGTGAGAAAGTATTATTATTCCGTTAACAAAATAGACGAACAATTTGTAAAATGATAGCAACACCACCGACCCACCTCCTGTTGAGGGACATTCGCTACACAATTCCAATATCGAAAACAACGACAATTGCGTATGTATAGACACACCGACACAATGATACATGTCTTCGCGCAGTCTCACATTGTTCATATATATATATATGTTTGTGTGAATTACAATACGTACACCTGCATGTATGCATGTATGCGTATGTATGAGCGACATCTTGAAACAGACAACGGCGCCAGAGAACATATTGCTTATCAAATACAATAATTTCTAATGTTGCCTAAACATTCATTCATCGACTTTTGAAAATGTGAGGTAAAGAGATTTTCAGGGAGCCGGATAGTTAGATAAATATATAATATGCATAATATAAATACAATGCTAATGATGTTTTTATTAAAACATTTACAACAGAATACAATTAAAATAAGGAAAATGGATTGTCAGTGGTCAGGAATTAATAAAAGGATTACTGATAGCAAAGAGATTTGCAAATGATTTTACTAAAAAGAATTATTGCAAATGATTTACTGTAGGATGCTTTGAAATCAAGAAGGAGGAGTTTGATAGTGGTCAGGAATTAACAAAGGTATTAATCATAGAATAAAGTAAAAATACGTATAAAACAATTATAGTGAATTATTGTAAATAATATTACTATAGAAATACACTGATAATGGGGAAAATATTTACTGAGAAAACAGCTATTATAGACATAATGGAGTAAATATGCCAAATTATATTAAAGTCGGTATTTTGAGGAAATCATACGCATATTTCTGTGAAAATATTTGACAAATTAATTGCCATTACCTGTATCGTGCGTTTCTCGACTCTCTGTTGTGTGGAGCATTCAGTTTTGTAAATAATACTCGAACGATATTTAAGAACAGACAGAAATTTATCTGCAGGAAGAAAAATAAAAGAAAATACATAAGTAAATTGAAATAAATTCACAATGCAATATCATTTAAATCCTTAAGCTCTGCATGTAGGCGTTTATTACAACATAGAGCGTATTTTCATCAACCAATTATTTTCTGATTCGAAGAATTTCATAGATTTATTTAGCAGCGAGTTTCACGAGAAAGGATCTAAAATCATATGGAAGCACACATTTGGAATAAAATCAAGATTTGAATGATAAATGCAAAAACGGAATTTTGGAAGGCGTGTTTAATTTATTATTATTCAGATAAATATGAAGAATGGAAATACCAGGTTATCCGAATCATATTGTTAATTACCAAAATATATTATTTCAGGTAATGTAGATCTATGACAAGCATTTCAAAACTAGACTGTGACTCGTAGGTTCTATCTATCTATCTATCTATCTATCTATCTATCTATCTATCTATCTATCTATCTATGTCAGGCTGTTCATATCTATCTATCTATCTATCTATCTATCTATCTATCTATCTATCTATCTATCTATCTATCTATCAGTGCTGTAATTTCCGTCGGTTTTCTAAGCCAGTGCCTACGTTAAACTCTAATTGTTGGTTTTCAGCGCAGTAATTTGCTGCAAGCAGTTTCTTTCCTTATCCAATCAAATACGCTACGCTATTGTTTATTACACTTAAATAAATCCATACAGTCAACAAATAACTGACGTTTACATGTTATCTAAATATTTGTTAAATTTCAGACTTTTGATTCCATTTCCCATTTTTCCGTTCCTTGCATTTAACCCCCCATAAACACAACAGTTGAATTATATAAGAATTGCTTAAAACTCTATAGTGTACACGTATCCACATAGTTAAACTGTTGGCATTGTGACCATGAAACACAGGTTCGAATCTCACGAATTTGTTATGGGGTTGTCTTATTAATATCGACATCGTTAGGAAGTACCTGAAAATCATACCCAGTGTTTGACCCAGTCCTTGTGAGAGAAATTGAGTAGACGGAACTATTGAGAAGCTATCGAAGTTTGTACTAGCATGAAGTCGCAAGTCATCGTGACTGAGAGTTTGGTCGTGCTGACCTTGTTCAAACTGATAATCAGACCAAATTCTCACTTCTAGAAACTGTAGAGAACGTCTGTTATGCACAGTTGCAGTATAAAACACAAAAAGATCCTTGAATGGTGTGTTAAAACTAACACAAATATGCCTGAGCCGTTGTCAATAGCCCGAGCTCATGCAGAGAGGCGTACTCGGATGTCAGCAGACATACGTTATATTATTCAATATTTAAAGTTTTGCAATAATAGCAGTTTTTCTCCTCAACATTTGTCTCTATTTCTGAGGTATTGTAGCTATTTACATTATTTACATCGTTCGGACTGTTGTCCTCATCAGTATTGCCATATTTACAACGTTGTAAACGTCGGCCTTCCTCAGGTGATATTCGTTCGAATTTTGAATCAAACCCTTTATTTAGTCCACGGAGGTAGATTGTTCTAATTCCACATGCCATGTCTTTGATGTTTCACTTTCAATAATTGATAACTCTCCAATGTTTTTTTTTCCCTTTGCTGTGGCCAAGTATTGAACTCTCAACTCTTGAGACAGTTCTGAATCACACAGCCAACGCTTTTATCCGCTGGGCCATGTCACTTTGGGGGCACCTAAAGATGGCCGGCATTTCCTGGTATGATTATACATTCCCATACAGAATAAAACGTTAAAGCGATGCAGCTTCTCATCACGCTGTCAATATTCTGCTGTCTAACCTTAGCCACTTCCAGATACTTGACCCCCTCCAAAAACCATTGTCTATATTTACTAGACTTATTTCCTGTTTAAATAACGATAACAAATTTTGTCGTAGAGTCGTAACAATAAGGAAAGTATAGTGATATTTTTAAAAGCTTTTTGGGAACAGTACGTAGTATATATAAACTTATGCGATTAAAAATATGAATCTTTGTAAATGTATCAGTGTATATATGTATGGGAGAATTTACGTGTACACACACACACATACACACACACATACACATATATATTTCTGTCTTATCAAAAAAGTAATATTAGGTTGGTGCAAAAATAATGACGTAATGATGTCGTTTTTTGACGTATTTTTTAACGTCAAAAAACGATATTATTACGTCATTATTTTTGCACCAAACTAATATTAACTCTTTCCTTATAAGAAAAAAGTTGGCTTTCATTGATCGAGCAGTCAGTATTACTATCGATTGAAATTGATAAAATCTTTCTCTTCAAACAATTTTTTTAAGGAAAATAGGTTTCTCAAGTCCAGTAGCTGTTATCGCTCTTTCCAGTCTTGATGGGCGTTTCTTTCGTAACATTTTATTCGAAGTAGTGTGGAATGTCAAGTTACATGTGCCATCCATTTTAGCCGCTGCTGCTGTTGAAAGTCCTCAAGTGATGCCGCATGAAATACTGCGCAGCGGTTGTTAAATGTTCCGAATTCAACATCTTAAGAGATAACATTATCAGTAAAATGAACGAAGTA